GCGTGGCTGGAGTCAGCGCTTGCTGCTGCGCGGCCAGGGGTTGGCATCCAGGGCCAGCTCCCACCACCGTGTAGCCAGAGCCCGGGAACAGAGCTGTGGGTTGGCATCTGCTGCCGGGCAGCTGGGGATCAGTGCCAGGGGCTGGGGCCGCATGACTGGAGCAGTGGGTTGGTGCCTGCCACTGCGTAGCCAGAACTGGGGACCAGAGGCCGACTAAGCTCTGTGGCTGGAGCCAGAGGTCAGCACCTTCTGCCAAGTGGCCAGAGCCCCGTGCTTGGAGCCCGCTGCCCTGTGGCCGGGGTTGGGGTCAGTGCCTGTAGCCAGCACCTGCCACTGCGCGGCTGGAGCCCGGGACTGGAGCCAGGAGCCAGCACCTGCTGCCACGCAGCCAGAACCAGGGGCTGGAGTCTGAAGCCACGCCGCTGAAGGCCAGGGCCATGTGGCCAGAGCAAAATAGATCAGTACCCGCTGCCCTGTGGTTGGAGCCCGGGGCCGCACGGCCAGGATCCTGAAGTCCCACCACTGGACACTGCCGCCCAAACCCTGTCCCCCCCAACGTGGGTCAAGAACTCACCTTGCTCCTACAGCATTGTGCCCCACCTCTCTCCAGAGGTGGTGCAGGGCACCACATCCAGAAGCAACAAGGAGGGAGAAGAGGCCGATGCTTTGTACCCCCGCCTCCCCCATCACCGCCCAGGAGGGTGTCGTGGCCACACAAAAAGCTCCTGGTGACCGCATGCGAGAAACGTTAGCCTAGAGTCACAGAGTTGCTGAGCACTTGAATCTCCCTGTGATTTCCGTAGGAGTTGTGGGTGCTCGGCACGTGTGATAATTGGGCCCTAACGACCAATATTTCAAAGAGCTCAGTGCAGGGGTACGTGCTGGGTTCTGAGCACTCTTGAAAATCTTGCCTCAGTTTGGGTACCGAACACTTGGCAAATGTGCCCTATCTCTAGGCTTGGCAGAATTCGATTTTTATTTTTTTATCATTTCGACGGATAATATCAATTATTTTTAAGCATTTTTTTCCATTTAAATTGTCACAGTGGTGGGAAATTATGGGTGGGGGGGGGCGCCAGATAATAGGGGAGATCAGATAATTATTTAATGACAGCAGACACCGAGATTCAAAAAGTCAAACCTTTATAACTGTTAGACTGGGGTGGGCAACCTTTCAGAAGTGGTGCACGGAGTCTTCATTTATTCACTCTGATTTAAGGTTTCGTGTGCCAGTAATACATTTTAACGTTTTTAGAAGGTCTCTTTCTATAAGTCTATAATATATAACTAAACTATTATTGTAAATAAGGTTTTAAAAATGTTTAAGAAGCTTAATTTAAAATTAAATTAAAATGCAGAGCCCCCTGGACAGGTGGCCAGGATCCGGGCAGTGTGAGTGCCACTGAAAATCAGCTCGTGTGCCACCTTAGGTTGCCTACCCCTGCATTAGACACAATCTGACAACCTCACATGTCAAAATATACAAAGTAAATATCCTGAAATCAAACCCTAATACGTTCTCAAGCAGCATTTTTCTTACTTTGCCTATTTGTACATTTTAGATGATTATTGATGGAAATATTATTTCATGGGTTTGTGTGTTTATGGTGAAATTGACATTTACTGATCAAAATGTAAATCCTTCCAAGTCTTCATAGGTGCTGGAACTGGGGGTGCTGCTGCACCCCTGGCTTGAAGTGGTTTCCGTTCTATCCAGGGTTTACAGTTTGATTCAAAGGCTCTCAGCACCCCCACTATACAAATTGGTCCAGCGCCCCTGGCCTACCTATCTCTCACTATCAGCTCGGGTTTGTCACTGAGTGTCTGTAGTCCTGTTTCAGAGGAGTAGTTGTGTTAGTCTGTATCAGCAAAAACAATGAGGAGTCCTTGTGGCACCGTAGAGACTAACAAAGTGGGTACTAACCCACGAAAGCTTACGCCCAAATAAATGTGTTTGTCTCTGAGGTGCCACAAGGACTCCTCGCTGTTGTTTCTGTAGTCCTGGTATTTCCTTGCAGATTTTCCTCTGCGCCTCCTGAATTTCCTCCCAATGCCAATTCACCTCCTGGCAAAATGCCCCAGCCTGATGCACTGAAAGGACAGGGGAGCTGCAGAGCTGGGCAGAAAGTGGGTGGCGCTTGCTGACAGCTCTCCAGCGGTTCCACTAGCCGAAAGGCACTTTGAGAATCAGCTCGGACCACAGAGGGTGGAAGCTGCTTTTGCTAACGCAGAGCCAATCAGAGCCAGGCGGTCAGGGCATAGCAGGCTTTAGCCAATCGTGTGGGAAGCCTGGTGCTGTGAGGATGAATGCAGAGCCCTCCAAGCTGGAGCCTGTTGCTTCTTTGTTGCTGCATTGTCATGGGACGGCTCCTTCCCTGAAAGCTCCTTTTCAAGCAGAGAGTCCTACCAAAGGTACATGCTCATCTTCACCCCCAGCTTGCTCCCACAGAGGTACAGCAGCGGGGAGACAGGCTGTCCGGGGTGGAGAAGGACAGCTCCATTGCAGAGAGAGGAGAGGCAGACAAGAGAGAGAGAGAGCGATCAGGTGCACTGAATTGCTCTGGACACCTCATGGAGACAGCGCGCAGACCAGTGCAGAGATACTGGTGAAAACTTAGAGCACGCCTCACAGGCTGCCCATGAATCCACCCTGTCCTACACATTCTCAGAGGGGGAATGCAGCCAGGTCTGGGAACGCTCACGCACACTTAGAGCTGAGCTAACCGTTAGACTCCTGAGCTAGAGGACTACGTAACACAGGAAAATCTTGAGCCACTGACAGAGGATGAGAGTGAACCGAATTGCAACACATACACTCACGAGGAAGACACACGCAAATCCTCCACTCACTGGCACGTCCGCCACATATACACGGTGAGTCAGTCTATCTCACACACACACACACACACACACACACACACACACTGTCTTCAGAAGCGGAGACTGGCACTTCCTCGTGCTCACACCTGTTTTTCCCCTCACTTGCTGCAGTTGCAAAGAGGAGAAGTCCTGCAGATACCTGTGAGTGTAACCATGGCCCAGGTGCAGTACGACTGTTCCAGGGGGAATCATCAGAACATCACCAATTCAACAACCTCCCCCGTGGGACATGAGCAAATTCAACTCCTGTTGCACGTCTGCAAGGAAGCTAAGAAATCTGCTTACTGTCCATATAGTCACTTCCCAGTGGGAGCAGCACTACTGACTTGTGATGGGAAGATCTTCTCTGGTAAGTAAAAAGAACAGGAGTACTTGTGGCACCTTAGAGACTAACACATTTATTAGAGCATAAGCTTTCGTGGGCTACAGCCCACTTCTTCGGATGCATATAGAGTGGAATAAATATTGAGGAGACATATATACACACATACAGAGAGCATAAACAGGTGGGAGTTGTCTTACCAACTCTGAGAGGCCAATTAAGTAAGAGAAAAAAAACTTTTGAAGTGATAATCAAGCTAGCCCAGT